GTGGCAGTAATGACAGAGCATGCTCTGTTACCAAAAACCGCGATAGAGTGAAGCCGCGGAAGTCGAAGCGCGAAGTGGCCAAGGTTCACTGTATAGCATTTCACAGGCCATACCATTTGCTATGGGGCTAACACTGATTGGCTCCATTAGAGTCAGAGATAACTTGGCTTCATAAGGTTTTCATGGATCATTTTTTAAGACTCCCATACATAGCCGCACCTCTTACGGTACCTTTGCTCGGGCTTGAGACTTGTGTGAGCAGCCAAGAGCTTTTAACTGGTTAAAGCTAGTGTTTCCTTATTGGACTACAATTCCCATGAATCTCTTTGGCCTACTGCCTTTGGAACATAGCTGTCGATGCCCTGGGACCTCTTGGGATTTGTATTTTCTTTTTAATTGGGATTTGTATTTCTGGGCCAGCAGGGTGCATGCCAGATGATGGGGGTCTGTTTGGAACTGACCATTCACCCCTATTCTCGCCCAGGTTGGCCAAGGCGATCCAGAAGCACCAGAAGCTATTGTGGACCCTGGAGTCCCTGGCTACTGGGCGGGCTGTTCGAGAAGTCCGAGACAGGGACATGCCTCTGGCCCAACAGCTGCTCTGCTACCACGCAGGCCAGGCGTACGCCCAGGAGAAGGCGCTGGCTGGCTGGGAGCCCGTGGGTGAGAACCGGGAGTCCCAGCCCCTCGCCCCACCCCATGTCCCCGGAGTGCCTGCCGCAGCCCACCTCAGTGTCTTTCACAGGGGTGGTTGGCCTCATCCTGCCTCCCACTTTCACCTTCCTTGAGATGATGCGGAGGATTGCCCCCGCCCTGGCTGTGGGTGAGTGGGCAGTCTGGGTTGGGGAGAAGCGAGGGGCTGGGCAGGGACTCCTGGGCCAGAGGGGGGCCGGCTTATGGGCCTGGACTCCAGGGTCTTGACCAGCCCCTCCCCCAGGCTGCACGGTGGTGGCCCTTGTGCCGCCGGCCTGCCCGACGCCCCTCCTCTTGGCCCAGCTGGCAGGCGAGTTAGGCGCCTTCCCGGGCATCCTCAACGTGGTCAGCGGGCCCGCGCCCCTGCGCTCCGCCCTGGCCTCGCACCCTGCCGTCCAGAAGGTGGCCTTCTATGGGGCCGTCGAGGTACCTGCCGGGCCGGGCGCGGGACGGACACAGCCCGGGAGGAGCGGCTGCCACCCCAGCTGACGCCCGCCCCCCGGGGTCGCACAGGAAGGACGTGCCCTCCGGCGGACCTGCACGGGCACCGAGCTGTCCCTAGCCCTGGGGGCGGAGTCGCTGCTGCTGCTCACCGAGACGGCTGACCTTGATTCCGCAGTGGAGGGCGTGGTGGACGCCGCCTGGTCCGACCGCAGCCCGGTGAGACCCCAGGGGTTTCCCCTGTGCCTCAGTTTCCCCAAAGTGGACTTAACCCCCAAACCCAACTTCAGCACCTTGACTTTTTAAACCCCCCCCTCCACTTCTTTTTAAAGCCCTGGTGACTTAGCTAGAGGTCTGCTGCGAACAGCCGTTTTCGCATGCACGCACGTCGTGACGTGATGTGACGTGACTTCCACGTCCGCCACGTGGCTTCCACGTCCGCCACGTGACTTCCACGTCCGCCACGTGACTTCCCACCGCTCTCCGCTGCCGGTGACAGCCCTTCTCCCCACCCCTCACAGACTCCGGGTGGCACCGTGGTTGGGTCCAGTTCCCGAAAGCTGACTGCCCAGAAGGCATGAGAGGCCACCTCTGCTCTGTCCCTTGGGGTCGCTGTGTGACCCCAGGACACCCACCGCAGTGGCAGGGAGAGTCACTGCTTTTAACGCCCTAGCCTCCGAGCCCTTGGCGCCCCCGGTTTGGGGCAGCCTGGGCCTCCTGGGTTCTGCCTTTGCGAGAGCTCACTGTCCTCCTCAGTTTGCACCCCACTATCTGCAAGTCGCCGGGCTTCGGGGCCTCTGACCAGCTCTGGGGTCTCTGGCCCCTTAGTGTGACGCTCCCCAAGGCGCACTGCTTCTGCCTTTGAGGACGGTCCCTAACCTCTACCCTCCTCCGTGGGAAGCTGGGTCACCCACCCACCCCACCCCCGCCCTAGTCTGGACATCCTGACGCCCCTTTCCCCACCTCCGTCAGGGGGGCGTCCGGCTCCTTATCCAGGAGAGCGTGTGGGACGAGGCCGTGAGGCGGCTCCAGGCACGGATGACACGGCTGCGGGTGGGCCGGGGCCTGGACGGGGCCGTGGACATGGGGACCCGAGGGGCCGCTGCGATTGCCCAGGCTGAGAGCTATGTTCACCAGGCCCAGAAGCAGGGTGCGCAGGTGAGCCTGGTCTGAGGGAGGAGGGGCTG